CCCTGGTCATTAGTGCAAATCAATGCAGTTGAACTACATGGTTGGAGAAATTGAGGAGATCACAGATGAGGACAATACTCCACTTGAAATCATCATTGAAGATGAGATTCAACAAGATATGCAAGAAGAAATTTGCTTGCGTGCACTCCCAGGCAGTAGCAAAGGAGTGCACTCCATATTGGTCAGAGGTATAGCAATAAACAGAAGCCTCAGGGGTCGTTTGGTAAGCGGACTAAGTTATCCCGATATTATAATCTCTGGACTATTTTATCCCACCTGGGAGGTGAGATAAAATAATCCTAAGTTTCATGGGATAATGGGGGATAAGGTGGGATATCCAGTATTAAGTCTGGGATTAAATTTATACCATGTTTGGTTGATGGTATAAATTTATCCCAGGATAAATTTATACCCTCAACCAAATATGGTATAAATTTAATCTCTTACCTTATCCCACCTTATCTCGCATACCAAATGACCCCTCAGTGTACTGATTGGTTATGGAGAAACTCACAGCTTCATTGATGAACAATCTATCAAAGAAATTGGTTATGTTTCAGCCTACTATGCTCCAATGAGAGTGACAGTTGATGATGGTAATTATGTCTTGTGTAGTTCTAGTTGTCTTAGGTTTTGTTAGAAATTTCAGGGTAAACCATTCCAGGAGGATATTAGGATCATTAAATTGGGGGTTTGTGATATTGTATTAGGAAATGACTGGATGAAAAAGTATAACCCGACCAAGTTTGATCATGAAAAGAGGTATGTGACCAATGGGAGAACGGGGAACAAAACTATGCTTCATGCTATTCCAGAAGAAGGTAGCCTCAACATGATTAGCAGTAGCTCCATGGGAAGACTACTGAAGAAAGGGCAGACACTCATGGCTCATCTATTTGTGATGAGTGTGGAAAAAACCAGAGGAATCCATCCAAAGAGTACTAAGAGAATATGATGATGTCTTTGCAGAACCTAAGACATTGCCTCATGTTAGATCACTCCATTCCCTTAAAACCTGGAGCCACACCAGTCAGCTTGAGACCCTATAGGTATAACCACTGTCAAAAAGAGGAGTTAGAAAAGCAAGTCGCTGAGATATTGATCAATGGAACCATTCAACAAAACCAATCTCCCTTCTCATCACCACCCTTATTAGTGAAGAAGAAGGATGGAACTTGGAGGTTTTGTGCGGACTTTAGGGGCCTGAATGATATCACAGTAAAAGAAAAGTATCCCATACCCATTGTTGATGATCTCTTAGATGAGCTATATGGATCAGTGATCTTTTCCAAGGTGGACTTAAGAGCCGGCTATCATCAGATAAGAATGTAGGCTAAGGGTGTGTTCAAATAGCTTTCAAAACTCACATGGGACATTATGAGTTCAGGTTTATGCCCTTTGGACAAACCAAAGCACATGTGACCTTCCAAGCATTGATAAATTAGGTATTCCAACCATATCTCAGGAAATTTGTACTGGTATTTTTTTATGACATCCTAATATACATCCAGTCCTTGAATGATCACGTGAAGCACTTGAAAGTAGTTTTCGATATCTTGAGGGAACATACACTCTTTGCTAAGAAAACAAAATGCTCATTTGGGCAATCCAAGGTAGAATACTTGGTTCATGTGATCACAGTAGGTGGGGTGTCTACTGATCCCAGTAAGATCTAAGCCATGGTCAAGTGGCCAAGACCAACCTCAGTTACAGCACTCAGAGGGTTCCTTGAACTGACTGGGTATTATAGAAAGTATGTGGCTAATTATGGGAGCATTTGCAGGCCATTGACTGAATTACTCAAGAAGAATGCTTTCGGATGGAATGAGGAAATAGAGAAAGCATTTGTAGCACTCAAGGATGATATGACCAATACACTTGTACTAGCATTACCAGATTACTCTCAAGAATTTGTGATAAAAGCTGATGCTAGCCACTCTGGACTAGGTGTTGTGCTCATGAAAAATGGAAGACCAATTGCCTACTTTAGCAAGGTCCTAGCTCAAAGACACATGGACAAATCTATATATGAGAAGGAGTACATGGCTTTGCTTAATGTTGTTGACAAGTGGAGGCATTACTTACAATATAAATATTTTGTTATAATAATAGACTACCACAGTTTGAAGTATTTGCTGGAGAAAAAGGTAACTTATGTCATTCGACAGAAAGGGCTTGCTAAACTACTTGGTCTGGACTATGAAGTTCAGTATAAAAACGGAGCAAAGAATAGAGTAGCAGATCCACTCTCTAGGCAATATGAGAGTTTTTCCCTCACCCCAAATTTATTGCACAGTGCTCACTTACAAGCTATTAGTATGGCAGTGCCAATATGGATACAAGAAGAAAGGGAAAGATTTATGTCGGAGAAACAGGAGGACTAAGACAACAACTTATTCAAATCTTTCATTACTCACCGGTGGGAAGTCATTTTGGTCAACTAGGGACTTTGAAGACTCTCTCAAGTGTTTTACTGGCCTAACATGAAGCAGATAGTAGTGCAATATGTGGTTGTGTGTGTTTTGTGTCAGAGAAATAAAGAGGAAAATATAGCCTATCCGGGGCTAATCTCTACCAATTCCTGATCAGGCATAGAGACATATTAACAATGGACTTTATTGAGGGGTTACCAAAATCCAAGGGCAAAGAAGTAATCTTTGTACTGGTGGATAGAATGACCAAATTTGCTCATTTTATAGCTTTAGCTCACCCTTTCACTGCAGCTAATGTGGCTGACAAATTATGGAAGAAGGTTTATACCTTGCATGGGACTCCTGAAACCATTGTCTCTGATAGAAACAAAACTTTTCTGAGCAATTTTTGGCAGACATTATTTAATCTATTAGGGACTTAACTACTTTATAGTTCAGCTTATCATCCTCAGACTAATGGGTAAACGGAGAGGGTGAACAAATGCATTGAGACCTACTTGAGGTGTATAACTGCTAGCAGGTCTAACCAGTGGAAGTAGTGGCTGCATTTAGCAAAATGGTGGTACAGTACAAACTTCCATTTCAGCTAGCAATGTACCCCAATTGAAGCTCTGTATGGTTTCTCATCTCCCCTATTATCTATGGGACCTCTGATGGACAATATAGTGCCTGCAGCTGAAGATGTGATCATGAAGAAGCAACAGATGCAGCAGTTGTTGCATGATAATTTACATTAAGGCACAGGAAATGATGAAATTGTATGCTGATCAAAGGAGGCCTGAGAGGAAATTCCAGGTGGTAGATATGGTATACCTGAAGTTACAACCATATAGACAGACATCACTTGCTTTAAGGGAGAATCTAAAGCTTAGCTCCAAATATTATGGTCCTTATCAAGTCATTCAAAGAATTGGCAAGGTTGCTTACCAGTCAGAATTACCTTCAAAATCCAAAATACACCATGTGTTTCATGTTTCCTTACTAAAGAAAAAGGTAGGTACTAGGGTGGGTGGTACAGACAACTTTGCCCAGTACCAATATAGAGGGCCAATTCTTGGTTAAGCTAATCGCAATTCTGTAACGACAAATGGTTCGCAAGGAAAATATAGCAGCTATGACAGTATTAGCTCAGTGGTCCAATTTTCCTCCTGAAGATGCAACCAGGGAAGACTATGATTTTATTAAAGCCAAGTTTCCAGATTTTGATCCTTGAGGACAAGGATGGTTTGAAGCGGGCTAGTATGTCATGAGTTGAAGCCTAAATTGTAGTTACTGAGACTCGAACCCCAGAAGGGTTAACAGAGGCATCATTATCATTAAATGGATGGGTAAGATTAAGTTAGAATAAATAAGCATGAAGGGTTCAGATTTCGCCAGGCGCCAGCTGGCACTTTCAATTCTGTTGCAAAACTAACCAACTGAGACAGAGGGATCATTCACAAAAATTTTGGTATCTTCTTCTTGACAATTGACAAGAGTGGTTGCTCTAGTGGTGAGCACCCTCCACTTCCAACCAAGAGGTTGTGAGTTCGAGCCCCAAGAGCAAGATGGGGAGTTCTTGGAGGGAGGGAGCCAAGGGTCTATCGGAAACAACCTCTCTACCCTAGGGTAGGGGTAAGGTCTGCGTACAAACTACCCTCCCCAGACCCTACTAGTGGAATTATACTGGGTTGTTGTTCTTCTTCTTCTTCTTCTTCTTCCCTCACTGTCACACATTCTCTCTTCTTTTTCTGAATTCATCTTTTCTTCTCACCTCTGATCCTTTCTACCTTTTGTTCCTCTGCATATTCTTAGCATACCAATGGAGTCTCAGCTGAAAATTATTTTTCATTTCTGTTACTTTGGTTTCATTTAGATTGTAATTCGAATTTACAATTTGTTTATAAAAAAAAATCCAAAAATCGTCTCAAAATATGTTATTCTCTTTAAATTTGTTTCAGAACGTGACACTTCCGTATTTAATTGTAGCGAAGAATAAAAAAATAAAAAAATAGTTATGAACAAAAAAATAAAAATAAAATATTAAGAAAACCTTAATTTTATAGTTATGAAATTTAATTCATTTTTAACTTGTTTTTCTGCCGTCACGCTCTTTCAAGAAAGTGTAGATACTCTCTCTGCCACACCACCTCTAAGGGGATAATTAATATACTTTGGTCAACAATAAGGAGGTAAAAAGACGCCCGCAAAATTCAAGTGTGTGACTAAATTTTTGGGACAAGTTTAAGGTGGAACTTATGTATTTTCCCTAAATGAAAAGCACAAATGAGTTATTTTTTTCACTTTTCCCATTAATTCTTGTAAGGACTAATTTGACATTCTTGTAGTTTTTCTTAACAAAAAGAATCAGATATTAGTATTATTAATTTAAAGTTGTTATGATGTATATAAAGGGCCATAATGCTTTAAAATATCAACTCGGATTGTCAGATATCTAACGTCTGTTCATGCAGGGTTAACGAGATGAGCATCAGGTTTTCATTTGTTCACAAAACTTTCCCTTAATTAGTTAGGATAACNTAGGAAATGGTTAAAGAGTGTATGTCTATAATATGCAAAAGAGTTTTATATTATTAAATCACCTAAAAAATAATTGCATGTGACTGTCTATAATAAGTGAGAATAGTAACATCCCAAAAAAAAAAGGTAGATTACATGTTAATCCTCATCATCCGTATGTATAAGATAAATCCTTCACTAAAACTACGATATAATGAGTAAGTCAGCAAATATAGACAGGTCATACCGTCTAACTATTCCATGAATAAAATTTCCACTTTATTCTTCTCTTTTGACAAGACCCTTTCCAAGAATTGCTTGAGAACCTTTGTCCATTTACATCTCTGACCTTGTCATGCTCTACTTGTACAACAAGCTTTTGTGTCCTTCAGACTCAGTCATTTGCCTCTGAACCTAATCTTCAAAAAGCTTCACCTGAAAGTTTGCAAGTTCTATAGTTGCTATAAAAGTCTCTTCTCTGGCAAACTACCTTAAGCAATTCAAACATATTACCCCCTTTTCGTCCTTTTGCCTAAAACTCTATAAATCTGCTTAATCCTAAACATTCAATATTGTAATCATGTTTTCTCTTTCAAAAATGCCTTCAACAACATCAGTGCTATCAGCATATACTACTTTGACTGCTTCAGCAGTTCTAGTTAGAACTTTAGTCTCTGAAGTTCAGAACATGACAAACCAACTCTTACCCAAAAATCTCCAAGAGAAAATCTTGTCAAAAGTTGGAATCTTAATGGGAAATCTCTCTTCCCAAATGACACTCATCATTGAGGAAAACACTGGTTTCACTCCAAATGAAGTCTTTGAAGCTTCTAACATATACTTAGGCACTATAGTGTACCCTTCAGTTCAAAGGGTCAAAATTTCCAAGGCAGAGAAAGAAAAGAAGTTCTCAGTCACCATAAGCAAAGATGAGAAAATCATTGACACATTTGAAGGAGTGGAACTCATTTGGGAGCTAAAAATTGTGGAAACTCACAAGGCTAATTGTGATGATGGCTACTTCTCTTCAGAAAAAGTGGAACAAAAATGGTTTGAACTTAGTTTCCTCAAGAATCACAAGGAAATGGTGTTGGACACTTATTTGCCATTTGTTCTTGAAAAATCAAAAGCCATAAAAGAAGAAAACAAGGTGATAACACTCTCCCCACTTGGAAGTTATGGTGAAAGTGTCAATCTTCATCATCCATCAACTTTTGATACACTAGCAATGGATCCTGAACTCAAGCAAAAACTGATGGATGATTTAAACAGATTTGTTATGAGAAAAGATTATTATAGAAGAGTTGGCAAGGCCTGGAAAAGAGGATATTTGTTGTATGGACCTCCAGGGACAGGCAAATCTAGCTTGATTGCAGCCATTGCTAATTATCTGAAATTTGATATATATGATATGGAACTCTCTAGCTTGCAAGCCAACTCCGATTTCAGAAGACTGCTAGTCTCTGCCAAGAATAGATCCATTCTTGTCATTGAGGACATTGATTGCACCATTGAGTTAGAGAACAGAGATGGTGGCGCGCACCAAAGTGAAAGTCAGGTGCCTAAATAGTCATATTATTCAATCCGTTCCATTTTATATGACACTTTAATCTGAATTAATTTTAGGGGTTAACAGACTTTTTGTTTTGATGGACAGGTTACACTTTCAGGGTTGCTGAACTTCATTGATGGGCTATGGTCAAGTTGTGGAGATGAAAGAATAATTGTGTTCACAACTAACTATAAAGAAAGACTAGACCCTGCATTATTAAGGCCAGGAAGAATGGACATGCACATTGAAATGTCCTATTGCACTCCTAGCGGATTCAAGATTCTAGCTTCCAACTACCTTGGCCTAAAAAATCACTGCAAGTTTCGCGAAATCGAAGAGCTTATAACTGAACTGAATGTGACCGCAGCAGAGATTGCACAAGAGCTAATGATAAGTGATGAAGCAGACATTGCACTTGATGGACTAATTAAATTCCTTAACAAGAAAAAAGAGGAGAAAATTGTGGTACAAAATGCACTTGATGAGAAAGAAGATGAAATTGAGGAAATAAACAAGCAAGTAGAAACCAAAGAGATTAAGAAACGTAAGGGGAATTCAAGGAGGGGAGGAAGAACCAGGCGCAAAATTTTCTAGTTTGTGTGTACAATTAACTAGAAAATTTCTTATGCCTTGTATTTTTGCATTCTCATACTCTTTCCTGATATGTTCAATAAACTTTTCGACATGTAACTAGTGTTGAATATTATAGTAATTTAGGTACTGAAAAAGTTAAAATGAAAGGAAAAGGTATAACGAAACTGCAACTTAGTGTTATATCAAAGTTGCCAACAGCTAGTTCGAATAATTGTGATGGACAGAAATTTCAGATATTACTATGACGTTCAAACATGATTGTGTAGTTTCCTATAATGACCTTTTACTTCCTAGTACGTAATAGATTATATATCCATATTAAGATAGAAACGCGTCTAATTCGAAAAATGATGTACCTCCGGAATTTGCAGAGCTTCTTGTGTATTGATATCACCATCTTTCTCCATATCATTAACTAAAATGTTGATCTCATTATTGCCTAATCTAGTGCAACCACCCATCAAAGTCTTCGTTAATCACCGGAAGTGTGCAAATCAACTTGTACACACCTCAACTATTTTCACCGGATGCCTCTAACCAGTTTTCACCTAACCAGTTTTCACCGGATACCTGCTACCTCTAACCAGCATAGGTATGAGATAACTCTCTATATAATTTGGTATCCCAGTCTCCTCCATTTTGGACTGTATAAAGATGAACTACATTCATCCAAGAAAGAAAAGCTAGTACTGCTACATATATCTCAAGAAATAACAGCTTATATTCACATCCAATGGCTGCTTTTTCACTGTGAAGGATGGAGCTAAAGCATTAATTTATGGACCCCTATTGGCTATGGATGCTAATCCTAGAGTGCCAGACCTGTACATCTCTTCCACCAAAAAAGTAAATTTGCCCTTTGGGACAGGACAGAAAATGAGAAAGGGAGAGATTAGAAATTTACATACTGGTGAAATGAGAAGTACTTAACACTGGTACACAGAAAAACTCTTGTTCTTCCACAAAAAACTCCAAGCCTTCCCCAATTTTTTCCGCGAGGTTGACTTGCATAATGGCTTTGAATCTTCAGGAGGCACTGCCAACATCTCGCTCTTTTCAATCCGCGGCTGAGTTTGAACCAGTGAGGGTTCCCTCTGTCTCTGCTCGCGAAACAACATCAAAAGCTTTTGAGCTTTCTGCTTTCCTCTCATAGTCCCATTTACAGATATTGACACCAACGAAGGTATCACTCCTTCTTGAAGGACCATTTGGCTACATTTCTCATTTCCATTGCATAATATCAGCAGACAAGCTGCAGCTTGCTCCTGTTCTAAAGGCTCCCCAATGTCTAAAACAGTTGCTAGCCTACTGATAAGGCCCGGAGATGACATGATTTCTTCCTTTGCAGATTTACTTAAGCTTAGGTTTATAAGAACAGCTATGCATTTTTCTGTCGTATGGTCATCCGTATACGACATAAGGGTTTTCAGGCCATCCAGAATGCCAGCTGCCAGGAGGTGGGGTATATTTGTTTGATTAGTCGAGAGATTAAAAAGTGCATGGAGGGCATCCAGCTTACAATGAGTATCAGTCTCATGCTGAAGGACTCCGATCAAGAATGGAATGGCTTCACAAGAACCAATAACGGGCTTGGCTTCCTCGAGACAGGAAAGATTCAGGTAAAGGGCAGTTGCTGCAATTGTTGCACTACAAGTAGCAACCATTCTTCCCAGCAATGGAAGTACTCCTGCCGCCAGCATCAATTCCTTGTTCCTGAAGAGCAAGTTGGAAAAATGTCAGAAATGTTGGTTACTTGTTATAAGTGCATGGCAAATTTTTGAGCACCATTCTAATAAAAGCACAAAGATTCTTTTGGAACTAAAAAAGGTAAAGAAGCACTTCACTTAGGAAAAACATGCTGTGGTAATTATTGAAATGGAATATAAATCGCATAGTTAGATGCTTAATGAGGCAGCGGCAAAAGGACATGAAAAGAAGTCATGCTAAGCAGATCCAATTTAAGATATCAAGAAATACATATAATCATGTGCTTGTTAACCTGTTCTTTTATTTACTTTCGGATAAGTTCAAGTACCTGTTAACCTAATTCTGACTACTTTACATGATTTTCATTCGACAAAATCAAGATTGTAGCTGTCTGAAATCAACCTGTGCTACACATGAGCAAAATGAAATTGGAAATGAATGACTGTGAAATTTTCTCCAGGAAGATGCAGTAATTTGTGGACCAATGAAAGATATCAAGAAATTCAAAGCTATTTGACTTATGGGATGCCAATGCAAGCAGTTCATCAGAAAGGCATATATTATTTGACAGCTGGACAGAATCAGTACTATCTATCTTCCTTAGTTAGAGGTCCTTAGGAAAAACTGATCTGCGATTCTACTACCATAATATAATAACCCACAAGAGAACACACCTGTTATTATTCACACCAAGGTTGAAGAGGGCCATGGTTCCGATTTCTTGAGCAATCTCATTCCTGGTTTGTACAGCACACTCCAAAAATCCTAGTAATGCTTCGATAAAGCCATTTGCTCCCATATAAATCCTGATTTCTTCATCATCCTTCAGCAGATGCCTGATCTGTTCTACCACTCTGCATTTTTTCCTGAAATCTTCCCCTTTATTTAAGATCGCTAAGAAGTCGTCATATCTTTCGAAAGAATTGACTTGAAGCTCATCTTCCTGCATGGGTTCATCTACTTCATTTCCTTCGGCCTCTTCAATAATACTGCTATCTTCCAAAGGAACCACCTTGACGCCTTTGAATTTGCAAGATGCAATACTACCCGTAGATTTGGAATTCGTGGACTCACTTTCAGATAAAGCCAGTCTCCAGTAGTTGAGATCAAGGGACTCTGGTGGGCCATCTGGAATAGGAAGCCCGTTCTGTTCGCACCAACTAGCAACCAGACCCTTCACACAATAATTAGGAGTTAAACCAAGATGAGGGAGCTCCTGCTGAGTCTTTGGGCAAGTGTTATGCCCATCACTGAACCACTTCTCAATGCAAATCCTTTCATATGTTTGCCCAGAAGCAATTATCACAGGGTCATACATTAACTGTAACGATATTGGACACCTCAACTCTTCAGGAGGAAGAGGCATCTGATCTGACCTCCTAAAGTTTGGTTTAAAATTAAAAGAACTAAGCTTAGAGAATTGTCGGTCAAAGGCATGAATAATATTGCCTCCGGGTCCAATACCATCCTCGAAGGATCCCTGAACTGTGGGTGAACAAGGTGTTGAACCCTGTGAATCATTGTCATCTGATAATTCAGATCTAAACAGCTTTGAATATTTTCGTATCAGATGCAAAAGATAAGCAACAATTGACTCTTTCCTTTTATCCTCTTCTGCCCTGGCTCGTTCAACGAGCTTTTTCAGAGCCCTTCTTTCTCTAAGTGCAGCTCTTGAAGAAGTTATACCAAGTCTTGAGGCAGCTTGGTGAAATGACTCGAGTTCATTGTTGTCATTACCATTGAATTTTCTTCCTTGCTGAAGCAATGTAATTATGTCATCACCCACTTGCTTCTCCAACGGATTAAGTGAGAACTCAATCCCCTCAAGTTCATTTAGAACTTCAGATATCTGAGGTTACCATCAGAATCAAACTGTGAGTAAATGATTTATGAGTACATATTCATTTTGTCAAATTAACCAATGGCACTAACACAAACTCATATCCTCCTCCTAACAAAACAAAAGAAAAAAGAATCCACCATTGTATTTGCACAAGAGCCTAAATTTTAATTGAAACAACAACGAATTTACTTGATATACTAAAGAAATAAGAGAACATTACCTGACCGCCAATACTTTGTGGTACTATATCTTCAACACGCTTTAGACTATCTTCAAGAGCACATCTTGCTCTCTCAAACTTTAGAACTATAGAGTCCCCTGTTATAGCCTGAAAACATAAATATAAATTGTGAAAAAGAAAAGGTTAGGGGTAGGGGGAAGGGACCCGTGAAGAAGAATGTAGTCATTAAGCAAGAATTGGGAGCAGCTCTTTTTACTACTTCTGCTTGGTAAAAAACGTACTGCATGAGCAAATAAATTATAGTTATATCTTAGAACTAGCAATTTTCATTTGTACACATTTACAGCAATGATTACCAGGTAAAGTTTACTGCATTCAGCACAATGCTGAAGAATATTCTTTGTCTTCTCAAGGGCTATGTGCAAAGCACATAATGCTTGAATACCAGATGTGCTTCTAGGTCGGGCAGCTTCTAGTTCAGGAAATATTCCCAGCACTTTGGCGTATATAGCCGATAAGCTCTTGCACATTCCTCCATGTAACTACAATTCACACAAGCAACTTTATTGAGAAAACCATAGAATCATCCAACTTAGAATGAAATCAAAGCTAATCACCACTCACTCTGCAAAGTGTTTTCATTTCAAAAACCAAATTGAAGAATTTGCCTAGTTGTAGCTCTACATAGATCCAATAAACAACAATAAACCTGCCCACTTGCATACCTTAGGCTCTCCAATAGATAACAAGTTTTCCTCAACCTCAGCATTCTCCATCATCAACATCGAATATCGAATAGAATATAAACTCTCTCAATCACCTGTATGTAACAACAATTTCACCAACAATGAGATTATCACAAGAACAATAATAAATAAGACGATCAGCAAATATGTTTATTTCATCAAAAAAGAAAAAGTGCAAACACCAGATTTGCAATAAGAGAGATGAAAGCCAGGTCAACAAAATGTCAAAGTAGAACCAGGGAAACAAGAATGACTTGTGGTTCAAACAATTTGTAAAACCATCAATTAAATTAATATTCCTAATCAAATTAAAGAAGAAAAAAAGTTTTAAAAAGGAAACATATAGATAGAATTTAAATTTGCAAATGAAGAAACAAAGCTTTCAATAAATAGCAAGCTAATCTTCAATCTCTAATAAACCTAACAACACAATGAAGCTGGATTCAATTCCTTTCAGAACTTCATCAATAATAACTATCAATATGTATGATTGGAAATACAACAGAAAATGAAATCTTTTTCTTATATGCATTAAAGTATACTTTTAAAAGAAAAGAAAACAAAAACTCAAAAGAGTTTATATAAGAAAAATTTGATGCAACTTACAAGATTAGGAAAAGAAATAAAAGAAGAGCAACCAAGGAGGCTTCATCAAATGCTCTGCCGAATCAAGAATTCAACAATACATTTGACGATTTTGATCACAAAACTTTAACAAAATTTTTGTTGAGAAAGAAAGCAATCTTGAGATAGAGATGGAGAAAAAGAGAGAGAGAGAGGAAACAGCTTTTTATTAATAATGAGAAAAAATAAAACAGCGGAGGTGAGAATGAGTAGAAATGAATGAATGCATGTGACCAAGTACTACTTTACTTTATTTTACTTTTATATTTATATATATGATATGATTACTCTTATTTCTTTTTATTTAAAATTTGAAGAGACCGAACTCCTCACACAAAATTAGATAGATTGATGTTTATGCACAAGGGTAGATCTATAGAGGCAGAAAGGGTTTTTCTTATTATTCTTTTTGGTAAAAATTCTGATTCCATGACCACGTAATTCGTTTAAGGACATAAAAT